CATGCACAAGCTCAACCTGTGCCCTGGAAACCCTGGGGCTGCCCCATGCCCTCCCAGCCCTCTGCTCCCATGCAGAAGTTCAACCTGTGCCCTGGAGCCCCTTGGGTCTCCCCCTTGCCCTCGCAGGCCTCTGCTCCCCGGCAGAAGCTCAACATGCTGCCTGGAACCCCTGGGCTGCCCACTGCCCTCCCAGCTCTCTGCTCCCCTGCAGAAGCTCAACCTGCTCCCTGGAGCTCCTGGGTCTGCCCCCTGCCCTGCCAGCCCTCTGCTACCTTCACAATCTCAACCTGCTCCCTGGAACCCATGGGGCTGGCCTCTGCCCTCACAGCCATCTGCTGACCCGCAAGAGCTCCACCTGCTCCCTGGAGCCCCCTGGGCTGCCCCCTGATCTTGCAACCCTCTGCTCCCATGGAGAAGGTGAACCTGCTCCTTGGAGCCCCTGGGGCTGCCCCCTGCCCTCCCAGCCCTCTGCTCACCTGCAAAAGCTCTACTTGCATCCTTGGAAATTCAAGGAATGTCCCACTGCCCTCCTGCCCTTCAGTGGCCTCTGACTTACACAAGCTCCAACTTCTCTTGAACTCCAAGTTAGCTTCTTGCCCCCGTCCACTCCCAGGCTTCTGCTCATGTGCACAAGCTCCATGTGTTTTTAGAGCGCCTGGGGCTGCCCTCCTTGACCTCCAGGTGTTCTGCCACCTCTTACATTCAGCCTCCCTGACCTTTGTCCCTGGTGCTGGCCCATGGCAGCCTCTGACCCTCTGGGTCAACGCAGAGCCCTCAGCCTAGTTCCGCTCCACTCCCTGACTCCTGTGTTAACCCCAGGGCTGGTTTCCTCCCTGGAATCCCACCCTGGCCCCCCCCCTCCCCAGCAGGGATGCCTTTTCTCCCTGGAACCCCACCCTGGCCCCCTCCCAGCAGGGATGGCTTTCTCCCTGGAGTCCCACCCTGGCCCCCCCCACCCCAGCAGGGATGTCTTTTCTCCCTGGAACCCCACCCTGGCCCCCTCCCAGCAGGGATGGCTTTCTCCTTGGAGTCCCACGCTGGCCCCCTCCCAGCAGAGCTCCTCGTCCCTGGGTACCGTCACCCTCTTTTGTGTCCCCAGTGTCCCCAGAGGTCTCCCCTGGCCCCTGGACCTTCCAGGTGGTGGGTCGGCTGCCTGTGCCCACCAGCTCCCAGCCTTCTACTCAGCTGCTCCTGGACCCTTGTGGGGTCCCTGAGGTGGGGCCTCCCCTCCAGTGCCCCCCTGCGCTCCCTCTGTCCCTGCTCCTCTTGGGCTGCACTCACCGAAGGCGGAGGCCATGGAGGTGGCTCCCCTGCAGCCTGGGTCTCCGTGCTGCCCCCACCCCTTCCCTACTCTGGCCCCAGGCACCTGCGCTCCTCCAGGCCGACCTCTGTGCCCGCAGCCCCAGCCCCTAGGATTTCGTAGCTGGATTCCCGGAGATGTGAGCTGACTGCCCGCAACCCTGCGAACACTAAGAGCGGGACTGAAACCGGTGGCACCGCCTGCTTCCTGAAGTTCCCTTTTCTCTGGGTGGTTTCTGTCTCAGATGGCCTGGGGGGAGTCCAGACGCAGCAGAGGCGCCTCACGTGGGTGCCTGGGGGTGGGGCGAGTGGTGTCCTGGGACCTCGGGCTCAGAGTGGGAGTCCCTGCGGTCACTTGTTCCGTACCTCCCACAGGGATGCTGCCCGCTTGGCTGGCTGTTGCCTGGGGCACCCGGCCTCCCCCCGAGCCCTCGGTCCTCCCAGGGCCAGTGGTCACCTCTCTCCCCTCTGGTGAGTGCGGTGGGCACAGGCTGCAACCTAACCCAGCTTTGTCCTGTCCGCCTGCCAGCACGGCCTCTTGGGTGGGCGGCTGTCTTCCTCTGGGTCCAAGCCTCTTCTCTCCCTCCATCCGTGGCCCCATCCCTGTCCCCCATCTCTGACCGAAGGGCGGTGTGACACGCAAGGTCAGAGGGAAGCTGTTTCCCCAGCAGCAGCTGTCTTCTGTGCTGCAGAGTTCACGGTGGTCTCTGGGGCTGGAAGATGGCTCTCTGGCTGAGAAAGAGCATGCAGGCCCTCCACCGCTGTGTGTGTCCCAAGAGTGGGGACGGGGACCCTCGGCTTCTCCTGTCTTGGAGTGCCGCAGCTCACTCCGAGCCCCGTGAGCACCCTGGGCGGTTCTGTGCCTGCAGCATCAGGGTCCCTGGGAGATAACGTAGTGCCCACTTCAGAAGTGCCGCGGGTGGGGAAGGGGCTTCCCGGGCACGTGTCCTACAAGGGCTGGGTGGGCGACATGCGTGCTGTGCCCCTTCCGGCCTGCCCAGAGCGGAGTCCAGCCCAGGTGCTCTGCTGGGCCCCACAGGACCGCCCGCCACCCCTGCTCTGCTCGCTTCCTCCGGGGATCACCGCCCCTGCTCAGACCCGCTCCGCCACCTTCACCTTCGTCTCCGCTTGTGTCCAGGTCCCAAGATGCACTTGGGGCTGTTTTTTAACAGCGACTGTGAGCTACTGTCACGAGACCTGGTGTCTCCTAAGTTGCTGAAAATGCTTTAACAGGATAAGGAGAGCCTGATTATTCCGAGCTGGTGCAGCCAGGGAGTCCACACCCACCACCGGGCTTGGCAGAGCCTCCAGGCAGGCAGGGACGCGGGAGAGCTTTGCGGTTTTATTATGTGTATGTACTGTTCAGTGTTACTGTACACATACACACGTCTGTGACATATGTTTCTAACACATGCATGCATAGTGTATAATAAATACTCTGTTAATCGATTAAAATAGTCTCTGTGTATAGGGAGGTTCTTTATAGAAAAAGGGCGAGCTCTGGGGTGCATGATGGGGCGGTGGGCTGGGGAAGCTGGACGCCCCTGGGGAGGCTGGACGCAGGCGCCCCTGTGATGGCTGGGGGCACGTCCGGCTTTCTCCCGTGGGTCCTAAGGTGGACGCAGGGACAAAATGATGGACGCTGTCGGTTACTGGTCGCACCCCTGCCGGGCATGGGGGTGCTGTTACAGGTTGCTCGGCTTCTTGGACTTTCACTGGAGGTAGAGGTCTCACTTCCTGCAGGTCTGCCGTGTGGGGAGCAGGCGGCTTCCTGGGCTGGTTGCTGTAGATGGTCTCCCGTGCATCTCGGTCCTGCCAGCTCAGATCTTCTGTGCACCCTCATCCTCCCAGCACAGATCTCCCGTGCATCCTGGTCCTGCCAGCTCAGATCTTCTGTGCACCCTCATCCTCCCAGCACAGGTCTCCCGTGCATCCTGGTCCTGCCAGCTCAGATCTTCTGTGCACCCTCATCCTCCCAGCACAGGTCTCCCGTGCATCCTGGTCC